GAGATTGGCTGGGGGTCCTCATGAAGAAGACATGGAATGAACCAAGCAGCAGCATCTTCAACAGTGTCCCTATAGTATTCAATAAAGGAATATTTATTATGCACCCACTGTGAGGTCAACTCGGTTCCAGATAAACAGACGGACTTAAAACCTGTGGTGTGCGTCCAACATAGCATGTCTGGTAGGTGGTGGAGCTAAGATTCAAAACACAGGACTATCGGACTCAAGTCCATGCTCACTCCATTAGCAAGTAGCATGGTACTACCTGGGAGTAAATACAATAAGTTTTGGATGACTTGTTGTCACAATATGCTTTAATATGAGATAATAGCATCATTTCAGCCACCATTCTTAAAACAAATCTTCAAGAAGTTAGAACCACATGATTCCAGCTCTACTTAAACTACAGATGCATTTATCCTTTCTCCCAGCAGAGGTATTCCTACAGGCATACCAGTAAACATAGGACATACAACCCAGGATGTTCATTGTAGCATTATGTCTAATAGCAAAAGACTAGAAACCATGCAATGGGGTACTGGTTGAATAAACTATGATATATCCATGCTATAGCATAATATACATCTATGAAACAAAGAAGACAGTCTGGGCAACATGGCAAGATCTTGTCTCTATAAAAAAAAAAAAAAAATTATTTAATTAGCCAGTCATGGTGGTGTACCCCTTGTGGTCTCAGATACTCTGGAGGCTGAGGCAGGAAGATCACTTGAGCCCAGGAGGTGGAGGCTGCAGACAGCCATGTTCGCTCACTGTCACGGGTGACAGAATGAGACCCTATCTCAAAACAAAATAATAATTTTTAAATGTTTAAAGATAAGGAACATCTTTGTGTTCTGACACTATGAATGAAAAAAAAAACAAGACAATGTTCAGGACAGTGTATACATAATAGGATGCTTTTTGGGTAAGGAAGGAAGAAAACTAATAATATATATAATAAATTTGCTTTTGTTTGCATAAAAAGCACCAGAAGAAACACTAAGAATCTAAGGACAATGGTCAGGGTAGAGGTGAGCACGATGAATAAGGACAGGACAGAACAGATTCTGAGCACACATATCCTTATATTGTTTAAGTCTTCAAACATGTCAAAGTATTCCCCATTCAAGAAGAGAAAATAAATAATGAAAAAGGGAACTGGATGAGGGCTGAAGTCCCTCAACTAGTAAGTGGTAGAGCTGAAATTTGAACCCAAGTCCATCTGTTCCCAAGTCCATAGTCTTGACACCATAGTGGTCACCTCCACCAAAACTTAGGGAAGAAACTCACCAGATGTTAGCCAGCTTGGGAGGCTGAATTGGCTGCAGAGGGCCCTGCTCCCACTCTCAGAGCTCCCCCAAAGGAGTTCAGGATCTAGGGGTTTCAAAGCACCATTGCAATCAGGTATGTTTGTTTGTTTGTTTTTTAATCTCCATCAAAGAATAGGGCAGCAGTAACCAACCAGTCCGGGTGGAAAGCCATGTGCTCTGGGTTCACTCTAACAAAGACAAGTTGGGTACATTTAAATTTACAGCCATTTGTAATCCAAGCATTTAGAACTCATCTGTTTAGGGTGAGTTGTGGGCTATAAACCCTCCTGGTAACAAATAACAATACATGCCAAACACATTATACCTGTCGACCTGGTTTATGGCTGTGTCTTGGCTTATATTAAGGAAGGGGCTGCTTCTGTCAATACAAAGATGCTGTTCTACACCGAAGAGAAATTTCAAACAAAATCTAGAACTTTATAGCCTGTCTGCTCTGATTTGGAATGGTATGTAATTTTTTACCCTCAGCTTATTTTCTCAAGTTTGAAATCATCCCAAAGCTGCCTGAGAAGATACTTAGAAGAATTATTTTTGACATCTCAGGCACAGATGGTAGAGCTGCCCCCGAGATGACACAGCTGATCAGAAAGTGTTTATGCAAAATTCCCCCATTGCCCACCATGTTGGAGAAGCAGGTTCAGAGACAAAGGGTGGCACCACTGACCTGGACAGTGTAGAAACTCTTCCTAAGTTGTTGGTCCCTGCCTGACAGGGGATCTTGCCTAAGCTGAACTGGTCTCCTTTTTCTCTTGGAGGGTAGGAAGGGAAAGACGGATCAATTTCCCTCCATTCTCTTGAACCCAAGCCAGCCATGCTCACTTTGCTTCCAAGAAAGTAACACGAACTGCCTGAGGTTTGCGGTTTTTCCAGGTCTGGATGGGGAATAAAGAATTATTCTATAAAAGGGGCCCAGATTGACAATACATTGGATTTTAAATTCAAATACGTAGAGCCAGGGTCTGTTTGATATAAGATGATTAAATGAGAGACTATTGTCGGCGGTCTTAGATTCCTCCCTTTCTGTCTTTATTCCCCTTTCTCTTCTCTTGGTAACCTAATAATATCTACGTCAGTTTGACTAGCTTGGGCACCTACTGGGTCCTTAGTCCATAGTGCTAGAAATAAGATGGTAGTGGAAATTAGGGGGAAAAAAATCTAAAAAGATCACTCCAACAAAATACGGTGAACAATACAATACAGGTGTTCAGACTGTGCTTTGAGAGCATAGATGGGGGCTCTGGGAAGATCAGGGAAGGCTTCCTAGAGGAGGTGATGTTTGAGCCCAATTTTTAAGGTTATATTAGGAGTTAGCCAAATACTGGCTTCAAGTTCAAGACTCTGCACTTCAAAATGCCACCAGAACCAGCAGCTTTAGCCTATTCTCAGTCTCAAGCAAAATGTCCTATCATGTAAATTTACCTGCCATTTTCTCAGAACCGTTTCAGAAACCATTGCTGACTTCAAAGAACTAACTTTGTTTTAGTATTCTTGCATTCAAATGATTTTAGGTAAAGTGTTTCCAACTGTTGGCAGCTACCATACAGCACTTCATCTTCAACAAGTTCTTAACTCCCTTAACCCACCTAGGCTGAAAGTACTTCTGCTAGGGGAACTTAACTAGCATACCTGCATCCCCCATCCCATTATTTGGCCTATCTACCAAATAATATGGTGGAATACATTTAAACAGACCCACAGAAGTCATTAAATATCACTTTTTAAATGGGGTTCTATAAAAGTCAACCTACAGATGTTTGTTTCCTCACCTCACTATGCACCCCCCACCCACCATTCCAAAGCACACACACACACACACACAAGTCTCTCTTTTAACTTCCCTTGTGATGTCTTTTTGTCCTCATCCATGCCTAAAGAAGAGCCAAAGTACAATGCAGAAGGGGGCAGACCCTCATCTGCAAGCTGTGTCCTGCTGTCCCAACTGAGAGCGGCTGGAGCCCCTCACTCTTCACAGCTCTCTGGGTATCATCTGCAGTAGCCCCTGCCCCTATAATAACAAAAGCTGCTATTTTGTGACTGTCTTTGCCGTGTCAGGTGCTGCATTAAGCACCTGGTCTGTGTTAGGCCATTTCATTCTCGCAACATCTCTATAACCTCATCGGAGAAACCTAGTAATAATCTGTTCAAGGGCAAATTAACAGCAGGTAGGTATGTGCTATTTGAATACAGAGTCTGGCTCTTGGACCCATACAGCAGATACATCTTAACCACTTGTCATGATGAAGAATAGAGTCTTCAGGGCCCCAGACCAGAGTGTGAATCTCAGCTCCGCCACTTACTTAGGTGAAATGACACTAGGCAAGTTACTCATTCTCTCCAAGCTTCAGTGCCCTCATCTGCAAAACGGGATGAGTAATAGAACCACTTCATATGGTTATGAAGGGATAAATGATGCTGTCTTGCATGTATAGAACTTGGCATGGGGCCTAGTAGTTTGTAGGTGTTCAAACATGTTAGCTATTGCTATTACTACATATTTACAAATCTGTCTATCCTCCCACACACCATCTCATTAACCATGTCATCGAGGCCAGGGATCAAGTTTATTAATATCTTTCTCCCCAGGTGCCCAACTGAATGCCTTGGAAATGTTTGTTGAATGGATGGTTCAACAGCACTGGTTTTCTCCACTATTTCAAATGATCAAGCACGGCCCTCCTCTATTTTGATGCACAATATCCTCTTCTTGCTAAATTCTACTCCTTAATATTCAGAAATTAATTATCAAGTACCTAAAGAGATCATTCTCGAATTCTTAAATTAGAAGAGTTGTATGGTATTTTTTTTTCTTGTCTCTAGAAAATGAGTGAAAGTCGGCCTCCCTTCCCTCTCCCAAATCTTCTTGGACTCTCAGAAGGAGAGACCTGGCATGTCAGGAAGGCCTCACTTTCACAAGTAGAGGGATGGAACTTCCAAAATAAACAATTCCCAGGTTGGGACAGGGGTGGATTTTCACTTTACAAGGAGATTTCTACTTTCTTGAAATGTCAGTGATCTCTTCAAACTTCACTTTCTCCTAGAGAAGTTCAAGAAAAATTTAGCTCCCCTGAAATACTTCGGGAGTGCATTCCTTTTGTAAAATGAGGCACACTCCTGTTGAACCCAGTTTGTTTCCCACAGCACTTTCTGGGCTCTCAGAAATCCCTGTAACACTGTCCACCACACAACCTACACATGTCTTTGCCCCATCTGAAGAGCGCATTCCTCCTGCTATCCACGCCAAGCACAGTCCCAGCCAGCATCAACTTACTGCCACCAAAATCTCCCTTCCACCCCTCCCTGTGACTGGGCCCACTAGCCCATCAGCAAGCATCCTGCTCAGTCAAGTGTGTTAGTTTCCAAAGACCACTGTAAGAAAGCAACACAAACTAGGTTGGGCACAGTGTCTCATTCCTGTAATCCCAGAACTTTGGGAGATTGAAGTGGGCAGATCATTTGCAGTCAGGAGTTTGAGACCAGCCTGGCCAACATGGCAAAAACCTGTCTCTACTAAAAATACAAAAAATTAGCCGGGCATGGTAGTACACGCCTGTAATCCCAGCTACTCGGGAGGCTGAGGCAGGAGAATCACTTGAACCTGAGAGGTGGAGGTTGCAGTGAGCCCATACCACGCCACTGCACTCCAGCCTGGGCAACAGAGCAAGACTCTCTCAAAAAAAAAAAAAAAGACCACAAACTAGGTGTCTTAAAATAGCAGAAGTGTATTCTCTCCAAATCCTAAAGGCTAGAAGTTCAAACTCAAGGTGTTGCCCAGGCCATGCCTCCTCTGAAGGCTCTAGGGGAGAATCCCCCCTTGCCTCCTCCAGCTTCTAGTGGTTGCCAGCAAACTTTGTCATTCCTTGGCTTATAGATGCTTCACTCCTAGTGCTGCTGCTGTCTCCAAATAGCCTGATTCCTTCTAAGCCTACGTCTGTGGCCTAATGTCCTTCTTATAAGGATATCAGTCATATTGAAGTTAAGGTTCACCCTAATCCAATATGATCTCATCTTAACTTGCTTATATCTGCAGCAGCCCTATTTCCAAATAAGGTCACATTTACAGGTTCCAGCATGAATTTGGGGAGGACACTATTTCAACCCAGTGCAAAAAGAGATCAGTATGAGTAGAGAGACTCAGCATCGACCTATGGGGTATGACATAGAGGGTTTCAGGATGAAAATCTTTCTCCCTTCCATAAAGAAATGCGCTATAGCGCCTAAATCCCACCATTAAAGAGACTTTCCTTTGGCTCTCAATGCCTTTTTAGTGCCAAATAAAATAAAAGCAAAACCTGTAATAATCCAAATTCTGTCTGGAGGAATGACATTCATAAATCACTATCATATCATGCTTGAGTGGTCATCAGTCCCTTTTTGAGCATGACAGCTAGCAGAAGTGAGGTTCTGTTCGAATGGAGCCTGAAATCTGTGACTAGAATGAAGCAGGTAGCATGGGAAACCTAGGTAATAAGGTACCACAGGTAGACATGCCTTAGTGCCCGCTTTGGTAACCTATCATATCCCAGGGAGCCCAGAGCCAGACCAGGCACTATGAGGGGGCAAGAGGGAGCAGAGTGCATGTGTACTCCAGTTCATATTTATTGAGCACCTACTGTATGCCAGGGACCGTGCTTGGTGTTTCCACACACATTATCTCTTTATAGCAACCTCATGATGAAAAACATACCATCTCTCAATTCACAGATGAGAAAACTAAGCCTCAGGGGAGTTACGTGGCTTGGAAAAGGTTGGGAAATTAGCAGTAATTACCAAGTTCAAGTTCAGATACTGACATGTTTTCCCACGTCACAGAGAAGAGGCAACAGAATCCAAGGTTTCCAGTCCCACTTCTGCTGGAAGCCAGTCCAGCCTGAAGCTCTCTTGCTCTACATTCGAGTTCGCTCTTCTTAACTTCTGGTTTTAAATCCGCAGCCATTTTCTACTGCATTTCCACTGTGCCTCTGTATGTATCTTGGAGAGAGGAAAAAAGAGAATATATGGGTCAATATAAGCAGACTCTTAAAAGCGTATACTTTATCATTGTAATAATCATAATATATTTTACTTTACAGCCACTCATAACTGAAGCCTCTGGGCACCCTAACAAAAACAGCTAAAAGAGAAAAAGAAATTATATTAAACAAAGGAAATACGACTATAAAACCCCAATAGCCAGGGAACTAAATGAACAACATAAAACCTCCAAACAACAAAACTACGGTGAAACCAAGAGGGGGAAAAAACCTTTTCACGAGCTTTACCCTGAAGAATTCTATGCTGTGAGATCACATCTGTTTAAAGCACCATAATTTATCGATATGACATCAAACCAGGAACCAGCCATTGTAAACCTTTCCCGCAGAAACTCTCAGAAAACTAACCAGGTGGTCGGTGGGGGGGTCTGTAGCACATAGCTGGGGCAACAATGGCTTTAAAATTTTATGTTCAAACACATCTATGTGAAGTTCCAAATCTTGGTACTGAGATGTAAAAATGAGTTCATTCCATGGGTAAACGGAATTTACAAACAGGGCTTTTTTAACAATATTCTTTTTTTCTGAGATAGTCCATCCATGATTACTCGCTGATGACTTCTCAAACTGCTGCTAAATGGACCATTTTTAAGAACGGGTCCTCTTTAGAACTAGCCACTGAGTCTCAAATACTATGAAAGGCTTTGGAGAGGATAAAAGCTCTTTCATTTATAAAGTAGCTGAGTTACTCAGCCTATCCTCCCATTCTGATGTTGCAGCCATTTCACAAACAGAAATTCCTGTTGACCCACGATACCACCATAAACCTTTGTTTAGGAACCACTGTGACTGCCATATTCATGTTTGTGAGGGCAATATTTCCCCCAAGCAATTGCTTCCCACATCCCTCCTACATGCTTTCCTGTTAAATATGGGAAGCAGATCCTGCTGGGGAAAAAAATCTTTAAAAGATTTGTAAGGTTACAACAGCACAAGCGTTTAGAAAACTACCTGGTTAGCAAAATGAAATAAAATATTTAAAATGCTGAAAGACAACCCCTGCCTGTATGTAAAATGTTGTTCAAAATGTTCATCCTCAAGTACTTTCTAGGTCAGTATAGATCTGGCCCCAGGAATTAGGACACTCGTGGCAGAAATGTGGACCTCAAGCCCAATGAAGCTTCAAGAGTAAAGCAGGTGAGAAAATAGCGCAGAGAGGAGAAAGAAGGCAGTATGGCAAGGAAACCTGATGATATGGGGGGAGCCAGGCATGCAGGAAAGTCAGCCCAGCCTGGGCTCTCACCCACGCTCTAATGCTTAGTAGCTAGAACACCTTGGATAAGTCACTGAACCTTCCTGGCCCCTGTTTTATCGTCTCTGAAATGAAGAGAAAGTGCTAAGCAAACTCTGCTCTTTTTATTTTATGGAAGCCCATGCAGTTCTTCAGAGGAATGACCATCTCTCCACAGAACAACATGGCCAGCTCTCAGACACAGCATTCAGTTAAAAGAGCAAGCCATGGAATGACACCCACTGGGTAATACCATTCACATTTGGGAAAAAGAACCCACCCTGACAACTCTGGATGATTTCTACAGGCCCCTGGCTGTGTGTGTAAGGGTACACAAAACTGTAGACTGAGGCACACAGGCCAAGGCACAAGGGTGGACTCTTCTGGAAGCAGGTTTAAACTAGGTCAGGGCAAGTGAAGAGAATATATTTATATATTGCTTATGCAAGAGAGAAGAAAACTTTTATGTGGTCAGTAAAAACATCATCCAGCTTGTTTCAGGAATAAATATAGTAATTCTAGAAAAGTCTCTGCAGTCACTAAATGAGAGCTGGGGTTACAATGAGGCCAAAACTTGGAGAACCCCTGGGTTCAGGATGATGTAAATATGCTACCTTACTAAGCTGGGCTCAAAACCTACTTGAAATGGACCTTGTAAAGCATGATATGAAAAATGGAGTTGCAGTTGAGACTGGGGGAGCCCTGGGTGGGAGGAAAGCCTGGGGGGGATCCCCTCTATCCCAGTATGTCAATCAGAGGGCCTCTTGGTGAGCCATCCACTATGTACCTGCCAGGCATGGGACACACACTCTCATCAACACCCCAAACCAGTTACTGAGAGCACTAATATGATTGATGGTACCTCTACCCCGCCCCCATATTGACCAAGGCACAGAATTTTTGGTTCTTCTCACTTGGGACTGCCCAGGTGGAGACATGTTGATCTGGAAGAGTTCAGAGCCAGGACCCAGACTTCCCATTGCCCTCTTCATTTTGATGAGCTCTGTAGCATTACTCAGTTTAAGCAAAAAGAGCTTCCATGGGCCTTCCTGGAAATACCACAAAGACATTTCTTTATTATACACCAGAGGTAAAGGTATCACTAGCACACAAGCAGGAGAAAATGAAATGACCTCTGGCAGCCTGCGATTGTCTAGTGCTCAAAATGTCCCTCCTTACTTTAGATATAGACTGGGAGTCAAAGCAAAATTGTATTTAAATGTAGGTTAACTATTTTATTTAGATGGGCCAATCACAGCAGGAAGACTACAGAAGATGACTGGGGACATCACTTGGAATCTGCACCAAAATGATTACGTTTTCTTCAATGAGCAACTTGAAAAATATACATTCAACCACATAAATAAAGTAGACATTAATCCAGAATCCATGCTCCATTTCTAGCAAAGGCTGTCAAGCTCTGAAATACAAGAATATCAGGAGGAGAGGCAAATTTCCCCTCCTTTGTTCATTCCATTTTGCATAAGTCAAATCCCAGATAAAGCCTCCTGCTGGGAGGAGGTGCAAATAGGTGGGCAGAGAGGCTGATGGCCTGTGTGGCTACAAGCTTACCTGCTCCAGAAGTCAGACTCCACCCACAAAGCTTATTTTAAGAGAAAAAAAATGTAGGTTTTAACCAACTTAAGTACCAGTTCGTTTGGAGGGGAGGGGGATTGTGTTGCAATTTTTTTCCATTTTGCCTGTATAATAAAACAGTCCCTGTTCAATCTGGTGCACGTCCTTTTAAAAAGTTTGAGTTCAATGTATGGGTATGTGGGTGGCGGGGGGTGGGGGTGTTAAATCAACTTTGGGTTTAGAAAATTAATGCAGGTTTGCCTGATTCGGGTGTATGGATCAGTTCCAGATCTGTTTTTAAGCACTAAGCTACTGAAGGATTATTATTTTTTGAATTTGTATTCCTTCTTAATCCCCTAATCCTTTCCGGAGAAATGTCCAGATTGTCAGGCCAACACATGAAAAAACCTCAGTGAAGCAGCAAGAAAAAAATATAAAACAATAGATAAATAACCATGGGATATATTGTTCAGCTTTTGTTGAGCTTGAAATGTGCCAAGTTGGAAATAGGAGACAGAGGTTTGTGATATTCCACTGGAACATATTGTCACTGTTATAACCAGCCCACGTTCACCGGAGCTGCCAATTATTCCCCAGCTACCATTTTTTTCCTTTAGATTGATCTCCTGCTTGAGGCTGTTTCACACCCATGACTCTGAAGCTTCCCTAGTGGCATGTTGGCTAATTAAGAGCAAAATCCATCTCTTGATGAAATAATGCTGCCACTGAAAAGGAATTCTACATTTTTTTTTAATTCTTAATCAGGCTGGAAGGAGTAGTATTCTAACACTTGTATTAAGCATAGGAAAAAAGGTCTATAGCTAGCAATTAGCAATGATGAAAAGGACAGCGATTTAAAGCATGTTGCAGTGACATTTTTATCAAATTAAATGAGTTTGCTAGGCCCACCAGCTGCATATGCTTATTGTCATTTACTGTTTGGACAGCAACACATCAGCCACTGAGTATCAGGAGGTGCCGAATTTAATAAGTCATTTTGACACTGGTGTGAAACGAACAGATCAGCATTCTGAGGAATGTGTTCACACTCTGAACAGACAGGCAGACATTCTAAGCATGTGAGGTGACACCAATCAACAGGAAGAAATGATGAAAGCCAGGCTAGGGAACAGGCAATGGTGGTAGTGGCGACAGCGGCAGGCGTGGAAACACACCACTGAGAAAAGAAAAAGATTCGCACATGCACACACCGAACCTACCGTTTCCTGGTTTAGCTACACAGAGCATCTGAAGGGGCAAAGACTTTTCAGAAACACTGGGACATGTATCCATTCTAGATCCCGGACGTTTTCATGTATAATTTAAAAACCGACCCAGTTTTCTTAAAACCACCACTAAGAGAAGCTGATAAATCTTCAGATTCTGTTGTTGTTTTTGCTCCCTCATGTTTGAAATATGGCAAAAGAAACCAACAAAAAAAAATTCTCTGCATGCTGGGAAAACAAATTTTCGTTTACCCTTTCTACCTAATATGTTTGCCCTAAACTGATTGCCTAGCTAGGATAAGAGGAGCTGGTATTACTTGGTTTTGATTTACAGTGAGGGAGGGTATATGTTGCTTTCAAAACTCTTGCTTGGAACGTGAGATGTGGAATGACATTCCGATAATCCCAGAAGCTATTTATGTCAAGGGTGAGATCTGATACCAATGTCTTAACCATGTACCTGGCATCAAAGTTAAAACACACCAGATAGTCGATTGCCAATTACCTCTTAAAACCTGCAGGTGTAATTTACAGCCTAACAAAGGTGACTAGTAATTAGTTCATGGCTTCAGAAGTTTCTAATGCCATCTAGTGGAAACGGTAAATCTGATCATTTCTGCATCAAAGGAGAGCCTCAAATTTCAGAAAATATATCATTACGTTGCTTCATATTGAGAAAAACTTTGTGCCAGAGTCCAATCTCAAACGTATCTCAAAAAAAATTGCTACAGTGCTCTCATAAGACTAGAATACATTGCCTTGGGAAATGAGACTTGCCCAGAATACCCTTGGATGCCTGCCCACTGCAAATGAAATCATTATTAGCAGCAGGCCACCACTGCCATGCCCGTAAGATCATTTTCTTCATCATTCTTCTCTTTCTTGTCTTCCAGATCCTAGAATCCA